TTTGGGGGTCGGTTAATTTTGTCCCTGCGTGTTTTACGCACGTATTGCACTCTCTGCTTGTATGTGCAGGGGTCGAGTCTCAGCTCCTGGCCCTGCCTCTTCATTAACCGCTACTGGGTTCACAATTTCCTGGCTTCTTCAGCCTTGCCATGCCTAGTTTTATAACTAAATATGGCTCCCGCCTTTACCGCTTCTCTGTCTGGGTTGTTCAACTTCCTGATTATTCCAAGGCTAAATAAGTATTTCCTAATATCCTTGTGCCTCACCTGTTTTTAACTTCCAGTTGTGACCTCGTGTATGTGTGTGTGTACTCACCTATATGTAGTTGCAGGGGTCGAATTCTAGCTCTAGGCTCCACCCTTCTTGCTGCTTATCAAGTTTATTTAAGTATAGGTACACATTAGCACGATTATCATAGTGTAAATTACCTAGGATAATCCAAAAAAGTCAAAGTGACTTATTTTTCATTTGGTCCTGGCAGTTAACATTCTTCCTAACCTCTTGCGGGAGGATGATTATTATCAAAATTTAGCGCTAAAGCCACAAGGGTCATACAGTGCTGCATGTGGTAGAAAGAAGTAATCAGATTAGATCCCAGGAAGTAATCATATTATCATTATGTTCATGGAGAGAGCATTAAACTGTAGGGGTTTATCCTTAGATTCCTGAGGAAATTGAAAGGCATTGAGATAATTAGAGGGTAATCAAATTCATTTCAAGGAATGGGGAGGCTAAGATCCAGAAAAAAAGTAACTGGTAAAAAAAATCACAACCTAATCTAATGCGACTCTTTTCCTAGCCAAAACTGACTTATTTTCTGTTTTTTTTCATGACTACCCACAAGAGGTGCAAGAGCTGTAGATCAACACAGCTGTACTATTACCACTACATGCATAAGGAAGTACATAAACTTGTAAGGGCAATGCATATAAAAAAAATATGCGCTAAACCCGTATGGGTCATAGAGCACTATAAAGACCATATATTATTCAAATTCCACAAGACTTTGAAGAGGCAGTTAATGACATGCCCATGCACTCTGCCCCAGGCCCAGACTCGTGGAACTCCGTGTTCATCAAGAACTGCAAGAAGCCCCTATCACGTGCCTTCAGCATTTTATGGAGAGGGAGCATGGACACAGGGGTCATCCCACACACACTGAAAACAACAGACATAGCCCCACTCCACAAAGGTGGCAGTAAAGCAATTGCAAAGAACTACAGACGATAGCACTAACATCCCATATCATAAAAATCTTTGAGAGGGTTCTAAGAAGCAAGATAGCCAACCACCTAGATACCATCAATTACACAACCCAGGGCAACACGGGTTTAGAGCAGGTCGTTCCTGCCTGTCCCAGCCACTGGACCACTATGACAAGGTCCTGGATGCTGTAGAGGATAAACAAAATACAGATGTAGTATACACAGACTTTGCAAAATCTTTCGACAAGTGTTACATGGTGTAATAGCACACAAAATGCGTGATAAAGGAATAACTGGAAAGTTGGTAGATGGATCTACAACTTCCTGACAAATAGAACACAAAGAGTAATAGTAAACAGAGTAAAGTCCCAGGCAGCCACAGTAAAAAGCTCTGTTCCACAAGGCACAGTAATCTCTCCCATTCTATTCCTCATCCTCATTTCTGACATAGACAGAGATGTAAGCCATAGGTCCATGTCTTCCTTTGTGGATGACACCCGGATTACCATGGCAGTGACCTTCATGAAGACACCGTGAGACTCCAAGCAGACATCAATCAAATCTTCGAATGGGCCACTCAAAACAATATTAAGTTCAACGAGGAGAAATTTCAACTACGTACTCAGATATGGAAAACTTGAAGAAATTAAAAAGTTTCAGAGTATACAACAAATTCTAATCATACAATAGAGGGGAAAAAAGTAATGTGAAGGACCTAGGAGTGATAATGTCAGAGGACCTCACCTTCAAAGACCACAACAATGTCTCTTATCTCATCCGCTAGGAAAATGATGGGATGGGTAATGAGAACCTTCAAAACTAGGGATGCCAAGGCCATGATGATTTTCTTCAAATCGCTTGTAGGGTAGGGTAAACCCATAGTGCCCAGCATCACCTGGGGAGGGGTATGGTAAATCCATAGTGCCTCGCTCGTGTGTATGTGTCTGTGCGTGCGCCCTCGTGTGTATATTGTGTGTGTGTGTGTGCGTGTGTTCGTGTAGGTGTATGACCCACTTAATATTTGTATTTATAACTCGTTACAATTGTGACCAGGTGTGGACGTATCAGTGGCTCATTACTTTGTAATTTGTTCATGACTGTAACCATGTATAGGAGTGAGGCTGATTTATTACCTTTGTAACTTGCCATGATTATGACCAGATCTACCTGGAGTTCATTACCTTTGTAACTAGTTCAGCTATCATAACTTTGGGGTCCAGTCCCTGGACCCATATTGTACCTCTGTAATCTTTTGACTACCGGCCACAGGATGCGTATGTATGGGGTGCATAATAAAGATATTAAACTAAACTAGCATCACCTGGAGAGGGGTAGGGTGAACCCATAGTGCCCTGCATCACCTGGGGAGTGGGAGGGTAAACCCATAGTGCCCAGCATCACCTGGGGAAAAAAGAGGTAATCAGGTTTGCTCCATTATTATTATAATCAAAAGTAAGCACTCAACCCACAAGTCATAAAGCACTGAAGGTTTCCTCCAAACAGAGGATAAGTCTGATTCCTTGGATAAAGAGCCGCACTAACATCAAGGCACCTCCCCTGAGAGGATATATACAGAGAATAATTGTTAGGATTAATGAAAAGATAAATACATAATTTGGTTTTATACTGTAGTCATTTCAAATATTAAATGAAACATTAAAATTCATTTAAGGCTTTTTTCCCTACAATGCCTATCATTATACATACAGTCTCAGGTTTCAGATAATATGAAAGCTAATTTGTTATTTACTTGCTGTGAAGGTATTGCTCCTTCTTGGAAAACTGAATGAACCGTGTGTACCTCAGAGCTTTCTAGTGAGACAGGAGTGGCCAATGGTACTTGGTAAGAGCAGTTGCTGGGACCATCTTTTGGTTTGTCAACAGATGATGGAAGAACTGTTTGCTGCAAGAGGATCTTCAGCATTTATAATGATAACCTCTTGTTCTTGCTGATCATGTGGGTAATGAAGGGAATCTCTCACTTCTACAATAGTTTTAATTGTGCTACTTGAGCTCTCACCTTTGTGCATTTGAGCCTGAAAGTCTGACTTGACTAGGAAGGATTTATTTACAGTGAGGGCCTGATAGGTGTGAGCCCTTTTCATGCCGTTTTTTATGCCTAATGGCACATTTAGGAGTTCTGAACAACTTGCCACACATTTCACAAGGAAAGGCTCGTTTTTGATTGTGTACCAAGACGTGCTCATGTAGAAGCACACTGTCAACAAAACTTTTCCCACACACTTCACACTCATATGGTTTTTCTTTTACATGTTTCTGTAAGCAGTGGTGCTGATGATCTTGTTTCGTGTTAAATCCCAAACCACAAATGTGACACACAAGAGGTTTATTATGATTATGTGCTATTTTGTGCCTGACTAACTGGGCATGTGACATCAAGACCTTACTACAAATAAGACAGGTAAAAGACCTTAGAGATTCATGGTTTAGATTTACTGTATTTTGAGTCTCAATGCCATTTAGCATTTCCTTACATACTGGTTTTTCTTCACTAACCTGCTTTTTCCTTGATGTATTTAAAACATAGCCTTCAAAGTCTCCTATACTGGGAATAACATTTGACTCATACAAACACTTGCTGATTTTCCTCTGTCCTACTTCTAATTTTCTGATCTTGTAACCAACTAGCTATTCTCCTTAATTCTTTTATACTTGATGTATGTGAAACAGGTTGCATTACAAGTGAATTTATATTTAATTTCTGGGTTATGGTATAGCGATGTCTACAAGGTTCTCCTCTTGCACCTACAGAGCATGAACACAAACCACAACTCATATCAATGTCATAACATTCACCATTGGAAGTATTTTTTATTTTGAAGTAAGGTACTATTTCCAAGGTCTCCATCATTTTTTTATCAGGGAGATATAGTTGTAAGAATGCTGATTCACCTTTATTACTGGAAATGTGACTAATTTTATTTTTATAATATTCTTCCATATCACCAGTTAAAAATTCAAACAGCTGAACAATAGTACAAGCTTTAGTTTGACAAAGAATCTTGTCTTTAAGGGAGTTCATTGTTAATGTAACAATATCTGTGTTTCCCATTTTATGTAATAGATCTTCTCTAAGGCATATAGCCCATTCACACCTTCTTGAATATAATTCCTCCATATGGTTGAAGAATTTGAGTGAGAATTGTGCCTGTGGGGATGTCATAAGCTTTTTGTACATTTCTTCCAAATCACTAGAACTTTTAGCAGACACCATTTCTTTGACCATTTCAAACAATTCTTGCCTACTGCCAGAGTCCACACCAACCTGATTGCCACATAAACATTCCCATGCTGATTGGACAATGTGATATGGACACAGTAATAATACAGCTTTGGGAAAGGCTGCTGTTAATGCTCCTTGCTGTGTTTTATCATCCTGTGTCATGATGACAGCTGGTCCCACAGCCCCTTTGCCACCAAAGTCCTGCTCTGAGAGGAGATTTGTGAAGAGATGAAGTGCTTCCAGTACGACACTTGTGCAGTCTGATGATGTGATGAGAACCCCCAATGGTAATCCACCTGCTTCACTGTGGGTTATTAAAATGTACACCCTACATCTCAAATAATCTAATTTAACAGAGTCGACAGACACACATTTCCCACTCTGAGCTAGTTCTCTGTGACAACGTTTCATAAGTGGTGTAATCAAGGCAACCACTAGATTATTCTTATCATTGTGTAAAACATTTATTAATACACAGTTTTCGCCACATTTTCTGTTATATTTTGCCAAAACCTCTTCAAGATAAAAATGTTGGCTGGTGACAGCATTATTACTTTGTGGTTCCTTACTTGTCAAATAATATTGTCTATAACACCAATTCATGTCAGGACACAAACCTCGATCCTCTAATGCAATGGGATAATCATCCTCGTATTCCATACGCAAATCACGTTTGTGGATTTCCAAGGCAGCAGCTGGTTTGTACCCAGCTCGATACATTTTTCTAAATTTTTCCACAAGTGCTGATTCAGGATCACGAAATCTTAGAGCATCCTTCTTCATTGTTATGTGATTGTGAAGATGATAAAGCGAAACTTCCACAGGGTGGGTCTTCAGATGAAGTTCATGGCACTTCCTGAAGAAAAAATATATTCAAAAGATTAAGGAAATAATACTGTATTAGAATTTTGTGATAGTACACCTGTTTAAAGTTTTGTTATTATCTTACCTTGGTGAGAAATCTCTGATGCGGTAAAAGTAAAGTAACAAGCTTACTCCAACAACTACTGTACTTCAAAATGTAACAGCAACATACAAAGTAAAACGAAACAATATGATGACTGGAACAATATACAAATAAGTGTATGTGACTGCGTGACTAAGTAATGGTGCAAGTCAGACTGAAATGCTGTCATAAGTTTCAGTTTCCTAAGTGCGGGTTATTTGTGTAACAGCAACACCTATGCTAGTGATTCTATTAAAACTATGGCACTACTATTTAATCATAACTGAGCAATAAAAATACAAAATAAAAGAGCTAATACTGTATCAGTCTTTAAATAAAATAAAAATTTGAAGGTACATATTCTAGGATGCTGGGTTAAAAAATTAACAAGAGCCCCTTTACTGTTAATAAAAAATAAGTTTTTAATAATACTGTACTTTTTTTTCAGATTATAGCTTTTGTATTGCATACAATAGGCTGCTCCCTGCAATAAAAAAAAGTTGCAGCATTCCTAAAATATCTTATTTAGTTAAAATTTGATCTAATGCAGATCAAAGAGAAATAAACTAAGTATAACACATTGATACTAAACCCAATATTAAAGTTAAGCACATTAGTAGCTTAAATACAATTCCAGGACTTGTCTCAATATTATACTGCATTCATGTTAAGTACTGTGCATTATATGTAAAATGTCATGGTCAAAGGATGTAATGGGTTGCTTCAATTACAATGCCGGTTAAGCATTACAATGTCAGCTCAAGAGACACTTTATATCTCAGAAAATATAAATGATTATAACCTGAGAAAACTAAGATAATTTTCCACAAGATGCAAGACGATTATGAATACAGAAGAATTGCTACCGTTTACTAAGTTTGTCCTGTCGTATCTTAATGGTCATCTTGGCAGGGCAGGCTGTATGTTTTTTATGTGGGGTGCGAACTCGTTTGTGGCTCGATGGCTTGGTATTATGGTGGCATCTTAAATCAACCTGCCAGGATAGAGTATTAAATCAAACATGTAAGCTCACTTTAGGTATAATTTATGAAGCCATATCCATATCTATATCCTACAGTTTCATGAGTCTGTGCCACTGTCCTTACCAGAATCTCCACCCTTATTTAGCATATTTTAATAATCTCTTGACTACCAAAACTTATAATGTACTCTGTATAATGAAGTACAGTAATTGATAATTAACCCTTTGACTGTCGCAACCCCCAATCTTGAGGTGTCTCCTGGTGTCACAAAATTTAAAAAAAAAAAAAATAATTTTTTCTTATGAAATGATAGAGAATCTTTTCCCGATTGTAATGACACCAAAAAAAAACGAAATTTGATGGAAAACTGACGGAATTATGCTCTCACGAAGTTAGCGACCTCGGCGCTATTTACAAATCGGCGATTTCGCCCACTTTGAGCCCTATTTTCAGCTAATTTCCTTGTTCCAGTCGCCCAAACTCATAGCTATTTCTTTAGAACTCCTTTTCTATCGATGGAGTACAAGAAACTGCCCATTTACCAATTTCAACTACCTAATAATGTGGTTAGAAATTTGCAATTTGGCCAATTTCACGAAAACTAAAAAATATGACAATTTCAAAATAAGGTCCAGAATGAACAATGCAGACATTCCTAGCTCTAAAATAACATTTTCTTTGCTCATCAGTCATGTCTCCAGGCCCCTCTGATATTACTCTTGCTTTCTATTTTGAATTTTTATTCAAACAAAAAATAGAAGACTTACTATTATGCAGACTACTGCAATACTGTAATAATTGTATAAATAACATCAACCCATTCATGACTGCATATTAGAATGGCTAGTTGGACATTTATTGGACAATGGCATCATTTGTTTACTTTTGAACATTGGCAAAAATCAAACATTTCCCCTACTTTGAGCTCCATTTCTAGGTTCTTTTTATAGTAAAATCAATCAAAATCACCTCTATTTCTATAATATGTTTTCCATTCTATCAAATGAGACCAAGAAAACGAGAATACAACCATAAATACTATACGAAAATAGACCACAAAGTCGGCATTTTAATTAAAAAAAAACGGTTGGAGTTTCTTTTTCTCATTATGCACTGCATGCTGCAGGATTTTTTTTATATGGTGCACACTGACCACACAGACCCATTCTCTCACATGTGGGCCTACCAGCTTTCTCCTGATTGATTTGAAGCCGCTAGAATTTATGAGTATATATACGTCAAACACGGTACCTCGTAAGATGTATATATACGGCCGCGACAGTCAAAGGGTTAACATCTGAAAAATGTCATAAAGGGCAAGAAAACAGACTCTCCATTTCTTACTAAAAGTAAACTATCAATAAAAACTTGTCTACATTACATCACTGATAACTTACCCGATACATAAACCACTTTGTTTCAAGTGGGTAAGTTCTTTCAGTTCTGTAAGTCGTTAATGAATGGTTACAAAAGTTTCTGATCCATTGTCTCATACCATCTTTTGTTGCCTGAGATCGTGCAATGCGAAATGTGGCATTAAAACGTTTTTCACCTTCGTGGTCTTCACACTCTTCATAAGAGTCAACTAAGTAATCACACCCTGGAGGTAGTATATTCTGCAACAAAAATATTATTATGAAAAATTAACATATGTATGCAAATTATTACATTATATTCATGGGAAGCACTAAGTTTACAGTGTTCATACAGTGCCTGAGGAATGTGCGGTAATCAAATTTGATTCAAAAGGAAGAGTAGCCCCAATTCAGTGCCAGACAACACACCCCTCTGATCTTTAAGAACTTGAACTTACTTAATATACAAAATATGCACTCATTTTACTGTGCCTATTATACATATAGAACATTAAAATCGAATATAAACCCTCCTCTCAAACTTCTCCTTGATAGCTACAACATAACACAGGCACAACACAAGGCACAAAACTCTTTTTGACATCCCTCATGTCCACCTCACCCTATGCAAAAATGCAATGCATATAAAGGGCCCCAAGATCTAGAATTCATTGGTTGAACCAGCAAAAGGTCCCATAACCTATGTTTGCTTTTTAAGTAGTCTATAAGCATGAGGATTAGTCTGCCTGAAATACTCATCCACGTTAGTGGCTTTGTTTGTGCCTAAAAATACTTTATTACATGTAAACTACAGTTTGTATACTACACAAAGAAACAAAAATTTTGATCTTATTTTGATTTTTATTCCTTGGATCACAAGTCCTTCACCAGCATCAAGGCACAATTACTTGCAGGGATACCCATATGAAGGCAATTTCTCAGTCTTCTGATATTTGTACCCACGGAAGTGCTTGCTTAATTTTTTTTTAACACGTCAGCCATTTCCCACCGAGGCAGGGTGACCCAAAAAGAAAGAAAATTTGATAATTTTCTTCTTATTTTTAGTAAACTGTACGGGAAAAGGGGTTTTATAGACCATTGCTCCTGGCATTTTAGTTGGCTTTTACAACATGCATGGCTTACGGAGAAAAGATTCTTATTCCACTTTCCCATGGATATGAAAGGAAAAGCGATAAGAACAAGTGCTATTAAGATAAAATAAAAAATGAGTAAAAAATAAGTTAATGAATTCCTCAAAAACTAGATTTGTTTCAGCCACTGTGAGATCTGATAAAGTTGTCCCCATACTGACACCTACACAGTCCAAAATCAGCCAAAAAAATCTCTCAGATATGCTAGCATGAATCTTTCCCTAGTTATGGTACACCTGTGTTGAAAATATGAAACCGATCAGACGAACTACTTCAAGTTAGGGCCTGGGAAAATCAGACATGATCATAGGTGATTCAAGGATGGAGAAGACAGGTCCCATATTTTGGATCAAGAGTCCCTCAATGACATCAAGGAACCTCCCATGAAAAGTTAGTAACCTGTACTGAATTCCTTATCAGTCTAATAAAAATTCAACTCACCTTCAGATATGGAAATTCATTAATTTCTTTCTTGGGAGTTACAAATGCCTTTTTTAATTTAGCAGCCATGTAATATTCTCCAAGACTGAGCCCCCTGCCGATGGATTTACACTGGAGGGAAAATTAGTATAATATCAAAATCAATTATAATATAAAATAAACCCTTCAAAGGGGATGTTTGAGGCATGTGATAAGCTTTTAGTCATAGGAATTGCTTTTAGTACTTTCCTGAGGATAAATAATTAGTAGCTGTGTGTAAGTAGACTGTTGTGGGTCACAGCTTGGAAAAGGACTAAAAGATCCCATTGAAAATTATTATAATCAGGAAAAAGCATTAAACCAATGGGTCATACAGCAGATAGAGAATGGGAGGCAATCAGGTTTGATCCAGGGAAGGGGAGGATACATCCACTTCTTTAGATTAAGAGCCCCTCATAGATATTTACTGCACATGTGGAAAACTCATAAGAGAATATAAATAACATACTAAAAGATCTAAAACAAATTTAGATTTAGATTTAGATTTAGATTTAGAAAGAATATTAGGGTAGTACTGGTTTAGCAATGAGTTATAGGTGAGTGGAACAAACTCCCAGGTAATGTCACTCAGGCAAAAATTTTGAGTAGCTTTAAATATACATTGGACAGTTACAAGAGTGGGTGTGAGTTAGGCCTAGCTAGTATGGGCCTACTACAATGTCCTTTCATTCTTGTGTTCCTATACAGAAACCTAAATTATTGTTGATGTGTCTTATCAGCTTGGTATTGTATACCATTTATGTAAACCAGTAAGGGTCATACAGTGCCTGGGGAAAATGGAGGCAATCAAGATTCGATTAAGAAGTATAAGTAGAACCAATTCCTTGGATTAAGAAACTCTTCACCAACATCAGGAACCTCTCTTTAGCGGAATAAAACTTATACTATATGAATTTCTTGATTTTCTTTTGTTTGTTGTGTTGAGGTTAATAAAGGGCACCAAACGTACATTGTTGTTGTTTTGTTTATAGGGCCACTACTTCATACGTCGTATCGCGCCCTTAAAGGAATTCAATTCAATTCAAGTTTATTCTCTATAAGGGTTACAATGTGGGGTTTACAGGTTTTGGGTATTGTGTGTGTGGAAAATACTGTACATATTTTCCGGAAATACGGTAATTTATAGGTAAATAGATGCCCTATATTGTATTTTTAAAAGAAGTATGTTATCGAAAAAAGAAAGAGACTCGCCATCTTGGTTTTGAATTGGATACAACGTTAATATAATGGGAAGAATTTTTCGTGCTCTAGAGGTTAAAATTGGATTGACACCTCTCAGATAGGAGGCGAAATTATTGGATGTGCATTCCTGCTTAATTGAGATATCAGACGACTGGACAGACAGCTCAGGAACTCAGATAAGCTCTCTAGATTTGTGTTAATTTCGGCCAGTGTTTTCATAAATTTAGTTAGTGAGGTTTTTCTGAGTATGATACAACTTAATTCCAGTTCAAATTGGTGAGTGATAATTAAGATATATTTTCCTTCTGAGTTATGTATATGTGAATTTATATATAATAATTTTTTTATTATACAGATTCCACAAATTTATATATTTACCAGAATTCTGGTGATGTATAATCTTTTTAAAAATTAATAGGATCCAGAGCAATTTGGGATATGACAGTGGTAGTATCGAAGGGGGACATTTTGAGAACCTAGGTGTCCCAATTCCTACTTGTCTACATGGAGAGAGTTTACCTGGAGAGAGTTCCGGGGGTCAACGCCCCCCGATAAATGCAATGTATCCTGCCCCCACAGAAGTCCCCCCTTCATTCCTGTCCCCGTCCAATCACCTGATTATCCGACGCATCATCATCTCTTGAGGTGAACTCCCCTACTTCCCAATGTACTACTGACAGTGTGTCCCCCACACGCGCCCACCTATCACGTCATTAATTGATATCCGCTTCTATAACTCCCCTACCTTAATACCTCTCCTACGACGCGGGAAAATGACCACCCGCGCCACCGCCGTGCGCATGTTAAGCTTTACACAACCATTTACTTTCACTGTCGTAGTGGCCATTATATATTATTACAATATTTAATTTTGATAAAGTCAAGTGTGCTAAGTTTGTATTAATTTGTTAATATAATTTTTTGATAATAAGGACAATTTGGCCAAGATTTATATCATGTATGTTAATTGATTACATTAATATGTTATAATATTATTTTGCTATATGCCGATTCTGGCAAGGAATTATTTATATTAATTTGTATAATAATTTTGAATAAAGCCAAGGCTGGCTAAAGGTAAGGTCTGTATTAATGTACATTTAAATTTAAATAATTTTTACATGTAATTGCTGCGCTCAAGTAGCTGGATTTATTCAAAGGTAAGTTGTATCAGTGTTGGTAAGTTTGTAATCAGTGTTAAGTTTGAATTTAATACATTGCATCATGGCTTGAAAATGAGGAAATTAATGTAGAAGACAAAACATATGGCGAATATAGCGCAAAGGAAGCTTCACTGCCAAGCTAGACAAGGGTCAATGTAACCAAGGCATATAATAAATGTTTGGAATTAATGAATCAAAGAACTGTGAATACTGATGATTTAAAATTGTAATTAGTTGCTTTAGGGAATAGATATGATTCATACAAATTATATTACAACAAATATGAAGGAGATTTATTAGTAACTGTGTAGATGAGGACTGAAATAGATCTCATGATTAATCAGTATTATGAATTTGAAGAAAAGATTCTTTCTTGTAAAGTCAGGCCATGAATAAATTAAAATGTGTAAAACCAGGCAGTTGGTCAGTCTGCTCAACAAAATAATATATGTCTTTGCAAAACTCCCAGGAATTGTATTTACCTGATGTTTAATCCTGGAGAAAATTGGGAGGAATTTTGGTCAATTTTTGAAGCAGTGTGCATGACGGAGTGACCTAGCCTGTGTAACTAAATATTTTACCTCAAAGGACCAGGTAAGAGGTGATGCCTCACATACTCATAAAAGTCTTTCCCAATGTAGATGACTCTTACAAGGAAGCAGTTGGACTGATGGTCACTTATGGTAATTATAGAACAAAGTAGGTATGAATCTAGTGATATCATTGGTTAATTTTAAAAATCTCCAGATCACACATTATAAAGTTTACAGCAGTTTAGAGTTAAACTGGAGAGCACTCTCAAACTTTAACGTAAAAAATTTAATCTGAAGGAATCAGACTGGTTATTGAGTGCCATGGTACAGAATAAATTAGCTGGTAAAAACTTGAATGGCTCTCGAAATAAATATCACAAGGGTTATTTTGCGTCTGGAGGAAATAAGGACTAGGTCTACAAGAATTAATTGTTCAGTTGACAGGACCAGCCAACTTAACTCATTTAAAGATTGCAAACAATAATAAACTCTGAAAAGTATCTGTCAAGTTTCACAAAGGGAAAAATTATCCATGGAATAATAAAATTCATTTTCTAAAAAAGTTGCAAGGTGCACATCCAAGTAGGCAAGAATCAGAATAATGATTCCCCTCCACAAGGTAAGAAGATAAGTACCCTCCTTAGAGTAGTCCCCAGTAATAAGAAGAAACCATCAAAGAAAGAGAGATTGTCTCTTCTGCAAGGGTACTCATTTTCTAAGAATTGCAATGCATACCAATTCATGGAATGATAAAGTTGAAGATTGGAGGACTTGACAGGAGGCATCAGGTGTTTGGGTTTATCACAATGTAAAGGGATTGTTATGCCAAATTAAACTTTCTGTTATCAATGTCACAAAGGAAGAACTCATATAGTCATGTGTATAGGTCCTGGAGTTTACCGGAGTTTATGGAGATGAGTTTCGGGGGTTCAACGCCCCCCGCGGCCCGGTCTGTGGACCAGGCCTCCTGTTGGAATCAGCGCCTGATCAACCAGGCTGTTGCTGCTTGGCGCTGCACGCAAAACCAACGGTACGAGCACAGCCCGGCGATCAGGAAACTGACCCTTTAGGTGCTGTCCAGTGCCAGTTGAAGACTGCCAGGGGTCTGTTGGTAATCCCCCTTATGTGTGCTGGGAGGCGTTGAACAGTCTTCGGGCCCCTGACACTTATTGTATGGTTTCTAAACGTGTAGTGGACAACCCCTGCTTTTCATTGGGGGGATGGTGCATCGCTCTTCTGCCAAAGTCTTTGCTTTCGTAGTGAGTGATTTTCGTGTGCAAGTTCGGTACTGCCCTCTTAGGATTTTCAGGTGTATATTAATATGTATCTCTCCTCTGCGTTCAGGAATACAGGTTTAGAAACCTCAAGCGCTCCCAGTAATTGAGGTTGTTTTATCTCGTTATGCGCGCCGTGAAATGTTCTCTGTAACATTTTCTAGGTCGGCAAATTTCCCTGCCTGAAAGGTGCTGTTAGGAGTGCAGCAATATTCAGCCTAGATAGAAAAGTGACCTGAGGCTAAGGTGTCATATGGGCTTGGCTCCCTAGTTTTGAAGTTTCATTATCCATCTGTCATTTTTTAGCAGATGCGATTGATACAATGTTATTGGTCTTGAAGGTGGACTCCGAATAATCACTCCCAGGTAGTCTTTGACTTTGGTGTTTCGATCTTTTTGTCTAGGCAGGAATTTGTTTTGTACTCTGATGAAGATTTTAATTTTTCCTCATGTTTACCCATATCTGAGTAATTGAAATTTCTCATCGTTGAACTTCATATTGTTTTCTGCAGCCCACTGAAAGATTTGGTTGATGTCCGCCTGGAGCCTTGCAGTGTCTGCAATGGAAAGACACTGTCATGCAGATTCGGGTGTCACTTGCAAAGGGAAGACACGGTGCTTGTGGCTGACATCCTTGTCTATGTCGGATATGGAGGATGTATTAATGGAACAAGATGGGAGCTAGTACTTGTGCCTTGTGAAACAGAGCTTTTCACCGTTAGCTGCCTCGGAAACTTTACTCTGTTCGACGACTACTCTCTGTGTTCTGTTAGTGAGGAAATTTAGATCCATCGAACCCGACTTTTCCTGTTATTCCTTTAGCGCGCATTTTGTGCCGCTATAACGCCATGGTCACACTTGTCGAAGGCTTTGATATATGGATAATGTTGATAATAATGATAATGTTGACAATCCTGACACAAACGTGAGGCTAATGTAAAAATTGCTGCTAATGTTATTAATGATGGTTTTGCTGAAGTACGGCCTTACCTGTGCTTACAGGTAAATTAAAAATTAATGATAAAGGCATAAAATCAAAAATGTAACTGCATTATTAGGACCCAAGGAAGGATCCAGCGTGCTTTCATAAACGTAAATGTTTGATGGTACGAAAGTACAGATGGGAGATCCCACAACAACAACTTTAAATTATCTGGTTTTCTCTCGGATAAAAAGGGCTCAATTGTATGACACTGGTTATGTAACTGTCAGGGTTGGGCAATGAGAAAAACGTTGTTAATGCAGTAATTGTAGATAGACTTTCCAGAGGAAAATATCTACCAAAGGGTAGTGCTATTGTAAAGCTACAGAAAGATTTCTCATATTGTAAATTTAGCACTTCTGGGGTAAGTGCGATTCTGGAGGCCCAATAAATATTTTGATAGGTAGTGACTATTATTGCCTCCTTTGGTAAAGGGTATGTAAAAGAAATGTGGTGTCACCCTTTTTGGAAGACTGAGGACATGTAATGTATGGTAGGATTTCATCGTAATAATAATTCATGACTAAGGAAATGCAAATGCATAACTGTGTGGTCACTTTACTCATGAAGTCGTGCCCCAGTATAATTCTTTCATAGGGTGGTGTTGAGCCAGTGCATAAATTGTGGGGAATTAGTGCAGCATTGGGAA